AGCAGTGAAGGACTCTCTCTCGGCCAATTCTGCCACACGAATTCGGACAAAGGCACGGCAAGGTCCATGATGTCCATGTTGTTCCCGTCCGCGGACAGCAAGTCCGAGAGAACGCCATGGTGTGTGGTACCTCGAACCCAGGAAAAACCTACTCTACTAGGTCCTCCAGATTTGAGAGGTTAGAATAAGGGTACCAACTTTTGTTTTTGGTCTATTTTATAGGGGGAACCCTGGCGACCAAAAAGGCTAAAAGGGCACTACTGGGGGACCTACGGCTCGCACGGGTAAGGCAAGCCAAAGAACACATGGTTAGGCGGTATGGAGAACACATGGTTAGACACAGGTCCAACGGGCCCATGCCTTAAAATGGACTTCCCAGGGGAAATGACATGTTTGCTTCAAAGCGCTGGTTCGGTTTAAGCAAGCGAGGTATGAGAGTCGACAAACAAATCCATAGCGTTGAGGGATGGCTTGATTGCCGCCCATAGACATGTGAGTCACAATCAAAACCCGGTAATAAAATGGTCTACCCAGAACCATGTGAATAATTAGGAAGGCGGATATCCTCAGCTATTTATGCTGAGATCGTCCTTCACCAATATTCATTTACCCGGGTTTTGATTGTGGCTCATGTCAGGCTTTGGGTCGATCCCATTCCATTTATCTCGTCTCCCCGAAAAAAATAAAATAAAAACATTGAAGCAACAAAAACAAAAACAACCAAAAACGGAGAGCCATAAAAATGGAGATCTCCGGTCGTTTTTCCCCTCCCCCAATTCGACGATTGGGCTGGGGATGAGCCCAAGCTAAGCTCGATCCGCAAGAAAAAAGGCGCACTGATGGCCACCATGGCCAGCGCTTTGGACCTCGCTGAAAAGCAAAGCATGTGAATATATATATATATACGTATATATATATATATGTGTATATATATATATATATGTATTATCGCACCCCCTGCCCCTCAGTATGCATATATATATATATATCTATATTATGAAAGGTATATAGAGATTAAGGTGAGCATATGAATATGTATATATATATATATATGTAGAACAATATATATATATATGTAGAAGTATGTGTGTGTATATCTATATATATATGTACATATTATGGTACCCCCTCAGTATGCATACATACATATATATATATATATATGGAGAGAGATAGATGTCAAGGTTGTGTGAGTTTCAGCTTGCTTTTCAAGCGTGTTAAATGTATTTAGATTAATGTGTAGTTTATAAATACCACGCAACCTAGGAAGGACATGATTACCGATTGACCACTGAGGCACGCAGGGATGCGGGTAGTCCGTACCTGCAGACTTAGACTCCCCAAAGTTACCTGTTTGCTAAATGCTGGGGACAAATTGTGAAACCACAAAGGACCAATTAGTTCACTCTGGAAATGACACATATTAATATACATATACCTAATAAATCTATTATATGGAGTGCTCGATCCCAAGTTGCAATCAAACACACACACACACACACCCACACACACACACACACACACGCCAACATCCGCTGCGGCAAAGAATGGCAAAGGTCAAATGTAAAGACCAAACATGCATGAGAAACGAACCGCCAAACAGCAAAGAACAAATCTGCATGTGTGTTAGTTTGCAACAAGCAGCTGAGTTGGAAAACTTTAGCAAACAGTACCACATTTGCCTGGCAAATACAAGAAGGAAAGAGCAGGGGGAGGAAGGCAGGTTAAGTGCGACCATCTGAATGTGCGATTCTGACCTTTGGCTGGGTAAACCGAGGCGGATGTTCTCAGTGATCATCTTGGGGTTTTGTCGCTCTTCAACTAGGTCCTCCAGTAGAGAGGTTGGAATAAGGGTACCTGATTTTTTGTCTGTAGGCCTTTTTTGTAGGAGACCCCTCCCCAAAAAAAGTTGGTCAAAGGGCACTGGGGGGGACCTAGTCAAGCAAGGCGCGCTTTGCGACGAATCCGAACTCCATAGACCACACGAAGCCGGGGCCTTGGGCTCCTCCTAGAGACACATGGTTGCAACAATGGGTACAAGAATAAGCTGCTTCAAAGGCCGTTTGAAAGCCTCAAATGCGCAAGTACTCACTGGTTGTGATGGAGAAGCCATCCCAAGCTGACTTGCTCACGCGTTCTCGAGGTAGCCGGTTCCGCCCCAGCTTGGCTATTGGTCAGCGTGAAATGCAGGTTATCGGGAACATTACATATGTTGCTGGATGGTGACATTGTCCCCAAGAAGAAAGCTTCAGATCCAACAATCCCCCCTACCTTAAGGGGGTCCCCCAACTCCATCTATCTGAATTATCTAGTCTTCCCCACAGGGAAAATGGGTTACCATAAATGGACCAACCATACTGCAGACCTTTCTTCCCCCCCCCCAATCCCATTCAGGGGCTGGGGATTCCAACCAAGAAAGCTGCCAGAAGTTCTCAGAACCCACCTGAGAACCGGACACCAGAAGCGTGGTGTTGATCATGTTCTTCATGCCTGGACTAAGCGACTTGACGTCCCGATTCTGCGGACCCTGCCATACAAAAAAAGAAGCCATTAGCTCCAAATGGACACCTGCAAGTAAGGATATGAAACTGGCAGACATCTGTGTCATTGTCCAGAACATGTGGGGTTTTCATTTGAGAAATGCCCCGAACACGTATAGCGTCAAAACATGACAACCATGCATCCTTGCCAAATGGCAGTGCATAGGCCCCTTGCGAAAGACAACGCTCAACTTTTTGGAAAGCACTGCGGCTAGGGTACGAAAGCGCTTGTTCTCGAGTTGAAAGGCACCAACCCCAAGCGGCTGCAACAAAGCAACTAGGCGTCATCTAAACCATCTTAGAAATGAACTGTGGCAAGGCGGGCATCGAAAAAGGAAGCACAAGCTCGTTGGTTCCTTGACTTCCTCAATGGATTGGCCCAGCTGAATAGGAGCTGACTTTTTGTTACGTGAAATAAGCAATCCCACTGGATCCAGTCACTCTTGTAGTAGGTAACCAAGGGAACGGGAACCACCCTGAAAATACCAAATGGAACATGTTTGGTTACATACAACGGTGGCAACTGGATCAGTACAGATTTCTCTATAGGTGGTATAATCACGATAGTCAACACCTGTGATATGCTTATAGCCAAAGAAGTGAATAGATGAGTTTTCGAATTCTAATTACAAGTACAATAGCGGAGTCCAAATGAAGCATGCTTCGTCGCATAAATGGTTGGTCGCATCCGCTACCCCCACCAACACACATGGCACAGGTTTCTTTTGGTAGACTCCTGTCATGGCAAGGGAGGTTGTGTGTGCTTCTTGGTGGGGTAGGAATAGTTTCTCAGCTGACCTCAAGAACCAGAAATCCAAGTCACCAAACAACTCCAAACCACCAATTGTCACCATCCACTAGTTGATGTTGATTGGTTTGGTGGTTTGGACGTTAGGGGCAGGGGTGTCTTCCCCAATTGGCTTCAAAAGGTTGAACCCAAATACTGTTCACCAATCCAAACCACCAATTGTAGGCTAAAATTGTGGAATAGTGGGGTTGCCTGAACTATTTTGCACGTATCCGAGACACGACTCTGTTTTGGGCCCGCGCCAATCTGCGAGAGCTGCTCTTCTGCCGTGGGGGTGCAGATCTCGACGAGGGGCTGGAAATCCTCGACCGGACCCAAGAAAAATATCTGCGAAGTAGCGGCTCCGGAAAGAATGGGGAGTGGTAGAATCCCCTATGTGAAGGGCCACCTTGGATGAGTGGTTGAGCTTCAGTAAATGAACTTGAAATCGAAGGTGAATTTGAGGGAGGCAAAATCGAGAAAAAGCAAACCTATGGTAAAATTGATGTTTTTGGGCCGGCCAGCTTCTATGACCTCCATTTTACCTTTTGGTGTTGAGCAAAAATAAAAGGATCGCTAGGGCTTGGCAAGGTGGTGCCCAAAAGGCTGGCGATGGTGTTTGAGAGGACATGAATCAAACAACGCAAATGATGTGCAAATCGTGCCCCCAAAAGCGCGGGGGGGTCGTCGGAGGGTTGGCTGCATAACTTGTTCACACAGACCCTAGCCTCCATCCAAGGGGGGCCACAGGCGTGTTGTTGCAACAATACGTGTCAAAACTGGGCTGCCCTCAGATCCCGCTAAAGTTTAACTTTTAGTGGGTTAAATGAAACCTACCAGTAAACACTAAAAAGCTAAAAGGCAAAGGAACCGGATGGCTGGGAGCCACCAAGAAAAATAGTCTTAAATGGAATTCTGGTGCTCATGACACGGGCCGTGTCCTCCTGGTCTAGAAATTGTGGTCGAAACAACCTCAAGGATGGACTATTACAGCTATCCGGCCAAGCGTTTTCCGGAACCCGACCCACCAAATACAGCCAACCAAACCCCAACAGTTTTTGCCAAGTGAGGCCAAGTCAATGCCATGACGGTTGGAGAGGAAGGGGGGGCGGTCTCGGGCGTCGATTGACCCTGTCTTTCTTGACTTTTTGCTTTGAATGGGGGACGGGGGCCAAAAATGGAAAACTCAACTTTGCCCCGTGTAGTTGGGGTAGCGAAACATCTTCTTTGGAACTCTCAAGAAACGGATGGCTCTGAACACCTGGGGAATCCACCGGTGCTTCTCTCAAACTGTTGGCAACACGCCTGCTCTTGAGAAACAGCGTGCAACCAACCTGACAGTGTGTCAAAGGAACCTTTTTGGCGACATGTTTGAAAGGGAAACGACATGAAATTGAGCATATAGAAATACATATCCGGAGTGTTTCGCTTACAAGCCAAAGTTGCATTGCAAGGGGCCAAGAGTCATAAAAACACCCAAATGGTTCTCTTCAAGAGTGTTCGCACTAGCACCCATCCGACATGCTGACAGGGGGTGTCGCGAGCCTCCCACTTCTCTTCACGTGCGGAATGGGTATCTGCAAACAAACGGGGACCCTGGGTCATGTCAGGAAGCCGCAGGCCCAAATCGGCTTGCAAAGCCCTAACCTTTTCTGGGCTGCCCTCAGATCCCCAGCTAAAAGTTAACTTTTATTGGGTTGAATGGACACCACCACTAAATACTAAAAAGCTACAAAGCTAAGGGAATGGCTGGGAGCCAAGTCTTGTAGGTTCGATGGAAAAGCCATTTGCTTCCACACGGCTTAGGAGGCGAATGTCACACCAGCGACCAGCCATTGGCCTGCTCCGAATTTCGCTGCTCCATGAGGGACTTCATCTGAAGCACCTGACGGAGAAGGCGGTTTTGGGCGGGTTGCTCACCGTCCGGTGCGGAAAGTTCTCAAAATACTCTGCAAATGAACGTGGTACCCAACTAGGTCCTCCAGTGGAGAGGATAGAATAAGGGCACCCTGTTTTCTGTAGTCTATTTTAGTAGGAGAACCCTCCCCCAAAAAAGTTGGTAAAAGGGCACTACTGGGGACCCTAGTCTCCAAATGAACATGGAACCCAACGAGAACCGCCTCTTCCAAAGGAAGTTTGGGGCAGATCCGTTTTGGGGTTCCTGTTTCGCTGTCCAGTCTCGGGTGAGTGCGTGACAAAATGAGAAACATGGAAAGATTTCTTGTTTGACACCCAAATTCTCAAGGGGGGGGGTGAAGCAACCTCTCACCCCGCTCTCGCATCTTTGCAACAAACGTCCACACATGCAGCCACCTGGCTATGAACAGCCGGGTGCCAAATGGGGCTTCCATTTCTTTCGGGTTTCTGAGAAACGACACCAATCGAGCCTAAGCATAAACGTTAAGCAACCCTTGGGCGATCTGATGGGCCTGGATTTCAGGGCCATCTAGGTCCTCCAGTAGAGAGGATAGAATAAGGGTACGTCGACTTTAGTAGGGGAATCCTCCCTCAAAAAAAGGGTAGCAGGGCACTACTGGGGCCTAGCTTCCAATTATGAAAGTCCTTTGGCTAAAATAAGAGGTAAACAAAAACTCTAAGTCAACTTCTCCAGACAGCCCAACCAAAAAACTGCTCCCCACCCGCACTTTTGATTGAAAGGAGGTGACCGCAGGGACCTCTGTGTCAAAGTGTCCTTCCCTTCGGACATTGACTCAAAGCTTGCACGCGCGATCCTTCCGAAAGCGGACCGAAAGGGTCGAACCCGCTTGGCAAAACACACTGATTCATGCGATCATGATGATTCTGAATCGGAGACCCTGTAATGGACATCGCTGGCATTTCGGATGTGCGCCCGCCAACAACTTTTGAGGAAAAACCAAAGTCAAACGCAAGGCCAAATGTCATGATGCTAGGAAAACAACAATTAGCCATAATTTGGCCGCTCACACTCGTTACTCTGACTTAAGTGGCTGTGGTTCAAAAAACCGGTACCAAAATGGAACCCTGGTAACTGGAAACATGGACCAAGACCTGCGGTTTGCCCCTCCTGTTTCATTTTGAGCCACACCCAAGTGTCTGACATTCGATTCATCGGCCGAATCGCCATGGCCACGGTTTGCTCGTCAGCGCGGTCAACTCCCTGGGAGGCATCCGCCAGAATGAAGATCTGGTCGTAGCCTGGGGCTCAAGCACAGGGGGAACCCAGCACTCAACAGCTTGTCTCTATGCCCACCCCCCCCGCCCCCAAAAAACACACATACACAGACACACAGACACACAAACACACAGACACATAGACACATAGACACATAGACACATAGACACATAGACACATAGACACATAGACACATAGACACATATACACATAGACACATAGACACATAGACACATAGACACACACACACACACGTTGGCTTGCCCTTGGTGTCCCAGAAAAAATCAACCCAAAAAGGGCACCCTCAACCTCAAACAACGACAAAAACAAAAAACAAACAAGTTGGCTTGGCCTTCGTGTCCCAGAAAAAAAAAGAAGAAAAAAAAAGCGTACCCTCAAACAACGACACTTCAGGTTGTTCACATATCCACACGAAAGGCAACAGGTAGGAAAAACCCATGGCAGATAATTACCCCACAGTAGTTCCCTTCAGGAATGAAACCACGTGTGATTTCAAGCGCGTGGTTTCCCTTCCATGCCATCCAAAGCCGAGATGCGACTGGCATACGGAGGTGCTCACTAATCTACCCCCTCTTACACCACTTTTTTCCCAGACCCCCGGATCCCGGATACTGCTTTAGCCTACGCCAATTCTAAACCAAAACTAAACCTGCCGATTGCGCAGGTTCACCGCCACCAGTCATTTCCGGGGGGGGGGGGGGGTATTCCAGCACTGTTGTACTTTAATACATTCAGAATTACCTTTTACTAGTTAAAATCAATTCATTAATTGTAATTCCATATTTATTTCGCACCTTGTACTTTTGAACTGCAAGAACAACAATAATATTGAACGGTTTTTTTTGAATTGCATGACTCGTAAATTGCGACTTTGACAGTTCTTGTGTCTGCGAAAGAGGGGAACCCACGAACCAATGCTTGTATTGATACTTTGATATATTTTAGCCGTCCCTCAGAGGGGGTGTTTTTGGGGGTTGGCGTGTTTTTGGCACGGTCCCCTCAAGGGGAGTGTGATCCTACTCTTTCTCCTTACATTGCACGGTGCCGACTAAAAGAAGGGTTATCCGTGGAACACTTGCCCCCTCATCTGGGCTTGTCTCGAATGTAGAATGCTTGCATCTCAACAGAAAACACTCTCCAAACTTGCCCGTTCCAAAGCTTGAAATAAGGCTCGGATCCCCCAGCGGACCCATAGCATTCGCTAGCTCCACCCCAGCTCCCCATATCTTGGTTGACGTTGCAAGGGGAGCAAACTCGAAAAATTGGCAGTTAAGTGGTTGGATGTTCAACCACTCAACCACAATAAACAAAAATGTAAGATGTTTCACCACAACAACCATGATATCCCCTTGGATGTTCAACCAACTTGGCAGGTTGTAGCCCCGGTGGACCTGGGGTACCTGGGGTTCGTGCCCTTAATCCCGTGGTTTGAACTCCCAAGGCTCGGGGTTGGCGCCGTGCGGGGCCCCGGCTCTCCACGGGGATCTCTTTGAGGCGGTACATGGACGTCATGGCGTTGCGGGGTGTAACCTCGATGTGTTTAGGGTGCCAGACCAGTTCTGACTAGTTTTAAGGAAAACCAAAAGGAATTCTACTGTTCCCCCCCATGGTCAGATTACTGAAGATGGGTGGGGATCGAAAATCCGGACATCCATGCAGCAGCCCAAGGAGTCTGACACGTTCAGATATGTGCAGGTCTGGGTTTGAGTGTCAATGTGGGGTTTGTGGCACGCAGTTGAAACCCAAAGCGGGACAGTAACAACACCTGTTCCTGTTTTTGTTTTTCTTGTTTCTCTTTTCTGGGGAGTGATGGCTTGCGTTGTAAAAACAAGTGATGCCTTCGTTTGGCAGATATGGGATTTATGCGTCATTGCCATTCGCATTTGCAGAAAGAGCGCGGTGCCATCAGCCAGAGTTGATACTTTGGGCAATCACACAAAGGCAAGACCACAAAGCAAAAGCTTGGCGGCACGAATGTGGGGAGATGGTTCTGGGTGGTACCGCAAGTAGATGGTTTGCAAAAAGGCATCCAAGAGGACAGCTTTAAGGGTGCCTATTTTGACACACTCCATTGATGCGATTCGGCTCTGTGACATCTTGGGTTGTGCAAATTTAGCACATGTGCTGACCTGAACACACAGCACAAATAAATGGTATGTGAATACAATGAACGGAATGTGAAAATGCATGTTCATTGGCTTCCGTTTGAGTTTGCCACCCAATGCATATTTTCTTTCCCAATGGACCTGAAACCATGGCTAATGGGGATCCAAACATTCAGATGACCAACCGAAAGGTGAGATCCGGTCGATTCCCTGGATTTATCAGGTTTGACCTTTAGCTAGTGAAAAAAAACAGGCGCACAGAAAGCACCTGGCTTGCTCCAAAGACGATAAAAAACACCTCGGATTGCGTGTGATCAACTTGAATGTATGTCCAAAAGCTCGGGTAGGGAGATGGACCACGCATACTGGGACACTGGAGTGGTGGCCGCTTCTTGCAACCCAGCGGCATATGTTTTGGACACGGTAATGTTCTCAAAGTGCTTCTCCTGCCTGGACATTCAATGAATGACCAATGGTCACTTGTGGATGACTACAGACCATGATGACAAGAGTGGCAAACCTGAAGTAAGAAGACTGACCGGAATAAGCTCATCATCAATCCGACAGGTGCAAAGCCGGCTTTCCGCGAAACCACTTGAATTTAGCCGAGACACTTGCTGGCTGGGTGGCTCAGAAAGGTTGAGGCTGAACACGTTGAAAGCAAACATACCCAAACAGACTTCTCAACCTGCATTTCCATCCTCGCTTTGCACCCCAAAACTCCGTAAAAAGAAGAAGCCTGCTTGCAGGGCCCAACTCCAACAGCAACACCCTTTTCTCACAAGTCGCAAGCCTCGAAAGAAAGATCGGATGCCCAAGCAAGGGAGCTACGTAGCTCGTTTTTTGTTCGCCAGAACGACGCAAGTGTGCCAGTAAAGGTATTGAGGGGCCCGCAAAATATCTTAATAGGAGCGTGCCTGGGTTTAGTGGGGTTCATACCACTTTTCGAAAGGGACACCTTCCAAACCTAGGACGGGTTCTGATGGACAGCCCTCTTCCTGTTTCGCACGCGGTGAAGGCGCGAGCCACTGTGTGCGCACCGCTCCCGCACCGTGCCGCCGGCAATTCGGGCCGAAACTTTGGGTCAAGAGTTCGCGGGGCTCGTGGCCAGCCGCAAGCGTATCAGCAATGAGCCAGGGCACTCCTTCATCCAAGTTTGCAAACTGCTTCCGCCAGCATGGCAGGCCAATTGCGACTCGGATCAGTAACTGCGCGATGCCCTCCAAGACTTGAGCTTTTTAAGGGGCGGGGTGTGCCCCCGGAAACACAAGCCCGCTTTTGGGTGACGTTTGAAGGGAGACTTGAAGGCAGCCATAAGCTTCTCATCAATGCAACATTTCATGGATCATCCGGTCTTGAAGTTCGTCAGGTGGCGCGCTGCTCTTCCCGTGTGGGCTCTCAGAGACTTCCAACCACTTTCCAAAGCATGCTGATGCGCAACCACACTCGCGCCGAAGATCTTCCTGGTCACCACCCAAAACAGCGAGCGCTCTATCCACCACCATCTCTCCTAAAGGAGCTCCCTGCGCCAGCATGTGGTCGTTGACCTGCTTGACCCAGCTGCTCATCTGATCACCACGTTGCTGTTGCTTGGATCGTAGCCGCCGCTTTGACTGGGTGCTGTCCACGCCCCGGACCATGAACTGCTCTCCCAGAGAAAGCAAAACGCCGCAAACAGGCTCCGAGATGACCTGACTGCAGCAAAAAACCGTTTCTCCAGTCTGCGCGTGAAGAAACTGTGCTCATCAGCTTCCCTGGCTGATGGTCTGGGAACTCCGACTCACAACAGCAGATGAGGCTGCAGAGGATCCATCGGGACCTGCTCCACAGCCTGCAAAGCTAGCAAGCGCAGCTACGCCTCCGTCGACCACAACTGCAGGTCCGGTTCCTCAGGTCACTCGCGGTGGCATCTCGCCATCCAGCTGGGCGCCAAGTTCAGGCAGTCCATCTCGCTCCGGCTCTTGTCCCAATGCAGCGCCGCTAGATGTAGCACCAGCGCCATGATCGGCTTCCTTGCCCCTCCTCCCCCAAGCTGATGAAAGCAACGGGCCTAAGCGGGCAACATGTCCAGGAAAATCCGGAGGCCAGGACGCCAAAATGGCTTTGGGGTAGCTGCACCACCCATTTCAGTCTATTTTAGTGGGGATTGGGATGCTCACTGCAGGTACGATTTGGATTTTGACCCATGGCCACATGACTGAAGCAGGATGCCAATGGCCTCGAGGAAGTGCCTTCTCGTGAGCTTCTGCTCCGCTACCAGGTGAAGCCCTCGCTGGGCGCGTGCAAGGCGGTCAATTTTGCCTGTGCTCAAGCCGGCTGCAGATATGTTTATCAACGTCTTCACACGCCAATATTTAACCCCTCAGGGCGCACATGGGTAACTGTACGAAACATGGAGTGTTTGGGATACTGTGGATGGACGAAATCTGTTTTGCACCACCTGAGAAACCCTAGCTGGAAGATTTGATTCCCCCGTGATACCAACAAACTTTATGGTTTCAACCATGTTTTCGTTTCATGGCGCGAAAATGTTGATTCCGCAAACATCCATCTCAGCGGGCCGAACGCTCTCCATTTCCCGATGCCTCCGCTGGGCATTGGACAGCACGTCTTGCAGCTCCTCCTCTCCCAGGGAGCAGTAAATCTCCTCGAAGCTCCACCAGTGAAAGGTTATCATACTTTCAGGTGGTAATGTTGACCCCCGAGTTTATTAACAGGGCGGTGTTCCCCTCCAAGGTAATGATTCCCCACTAAACCCAGGGACACCCCTCTATTCATAAACTGGGGTTGATTAGTATGAGGTCAACATTCTTCCCGAACCCCAGGCTTCCGGCACAGCCAAGGTCTCGCAACCCAAGTCTCCCAAGTCAAAGGCGCCAAACCGGAGACTGCCCCAATCAAGTGCGCACCCTTTCTGACCCCCATGTGGCTTATGGGTCAAAACCCCGTACCCCCAGTGAACATCCCAATCCCCACTACAATAGACGCACATTTTTTCTGCCCCCCATGCAAATCATGCTCCCAAAGCAAGTTGCGAATCTCGGGAAGCGAGCAAAGGCCAGACTGACGCTCAGTTTCACCTGGCTCAGTCCTAGTTTCACATGGAAGTCACTGGATGCGGGTTTGGCCGAAATCTTACCTACCCTAAAAGCCACATCGAAGAATCTCCTTTTAAAGGACTCCTGCAAAAGAGTAAGGGGAGTTGCTCAGCTTCCGTTGGCCGTTTCCGAGCGCCTCGGTCACTTTGATTCTGAGATTTTGCTCGGGACCGGTTCATCCCTTATGAGCCTCGGTTGTGATCCAGTCAGGGATGCTCTTTGCACACGCAAAAATAGACAGAACCAAAAACGGTCCAAGAATCAACTCACGTACACTCAACATACCTACTGTAAACAAACAGTGACAGCCTTTATATGGATGACAGAAGCAAACAAGACAACAAGGAAATAGAAAGCACTGACAGAAGAAAACACACATCTGCAAAGCCAAGAGCCATGGGCAAAAAGGGGACCCTCTCTTCGTTTATTTTCAAAGGGACACCCTTCCCTCAACAGAGAAAAAATACTGTGGATGGACGAAATCCCTTCGCACCTAAGAAACTATGAAAAATCCTTGCTTGTTGATACAAATTTGCAGGGGAATCGAATCGTTCCATTCCAGGGTTTCTGGACTTATCCCCTGGTTGATGGGGTGTCTCCGGTTCATGCGCGGAATCCTTTCCCCGCTTTTATTCCACTAGGTAGATGAATTCGGGGTCGACACTACTCGAATATGAACCTCCCCCCAAAAAAAGGCAGCTTTTCGCAACCATCCACAGTGAGCAATCAGACGGCCGAGCGTCTACTTCAGAGCCGGGTCCAGCCATCTCGTCCAGAGCGAACCTGGATGCAACATGACGGGAAATATATGCCTTGGTTGCATAATCATTTTGTTCAAAAACAAACTGCCCTGGTAGATGATTAAACCAACTGGAAAACCAGGGCAATCTATTTCCTTAACCAAATCAACCAAGAAGGACACCTATGCTTGGTGTTTCTTGGCCCCGAACCGTGAGCTTAGGGTTTCAATGGATCCAGCCAGAACTTTTGTAGTCCAGGATATGCCTCTAGGTCCACTTGATTTGCAACTATGTATCTGGATCAAAAGCAGCTGACACATGCGGGCCTTGCCAAAAGGCTTTGCCTGTTTTAAAACAATGCGCAACACCAATCCATGCAAAGCGTGATTCGGCTTGCAGGTGTCGAAGGCGAAACACTGAAATTTGAATTTGCGATCCGTGCGACAGGCAGGGAATGTGGGAATGAACCTGGGGATTCCATTAAAGGAAGCATAAACAATGGTTTATAGGGACATTTTTTTAATTCCCTGCCTATCGCACCAGCAAGTTGTTTACACAACAAAGCATCTCTCTCGCTCTCTGCGCTTAAAAAAAGAGCACCCTTTTCAGATTGTATAGCTTTAATGCACGCCGTAAGGAACACACGAACTGTTGGGTAATATCCGTATTTTGACCCATATCCAAATGAAAAACGGTTTTCGAGAGGACGCCATGGCCCGTCCCCAAGAGTAGGCCATCCATAACAAATCAGAACCTTAGTGTATCCACTCTTTCATGCGTTGTTGTCCGCCTGCAATCAGCCCAGCAATGGCTACATTGTCCCTCACTCTTGAAAGCACCTGAACTTGTGAATCGAGATGTTTAGGTTATCATGTTTTCGGCTGGGAGCCGACAAATAACCACGATAGAGCTTTATAACCAACCTCACCGAGAAATAACTAAACATAGCCCCCCATTCCATTGGGAACTAAAATATGGGGTGGTGTCAAAATGGGGGAGGAAAGCATGGATTTCGGGCTTTGCCTTTTGGTTTCCCTTTAAACCAACCTGCAAAAGGGTACCCTCAAAAACGCACGATCCCTTCAACCTTGGTAGACTGGCATTCGAAGTACACCAATTTCCAACGGCGCCACACGACATCGCCGGCTTCCGCCCGTCGGGAAGCCAAAGCAACAAAAGCCTGGGCCCCCCAAAGGGGAGCGCCTTGGATATCTGTCCTTCCCCGACCATCCTTTTCCCTCACCCACCTATCTACTACTCCAGAAATGAGTGGAGGAGTAACAGATGGTGGGTCAAGGAGGGTGCCCCTTGCACAAAAGACACGACAAAAAACACACCAACCCACTCGTCCAGCGAAGTCGCAAGATCGCACACCCGAAGTTCCGGTCGTTCAGGTTGCAAATCAGCGCCTCCGGCCACGTGCTAGAAAACAGTACTGGAGTGTGTCAATGGGGTACCCCGAAAGGATGACTTCGGTCTTCCTTTTTCCCTTTAAACCCACCTGGAAAGCAAACCCTCAAAGAAACACGCCGGGCCCGGCGCCTTTACATGCCATTTCGACGAGAGCCTTCGGCCCCAGGCTGGTATCTTCCAACGCATCGTGGCGGATATGTCATAAGTCGTGTTTCTCAGGCAAGCAGCGCCTACAAGTCTGTTTGCACCGGTGACACTCGAACATTGGACCGTTTTACTAGCCCGAAATACATTTTCAACAAAGGGGCCAATCAAGAATGACCTTAGGCATATGAAAGCAAGCCACACACACATTCTGATCAACCCTTGGCATTTCTGCGTGGACAGGTATGGATAAGACTCAGATGTGCTATGGTTCTCTTCCCGGTGAATCGTATCATGTCTAAATCCCAAGGGCCCACCACAATCCGCAGCAACCAAATACAAAGGGGAGACTACCCTGAAGGGGGCCCCCTAAACCCCCTCTCCCCCCAAACACATCCCTCGAAAAGGAATAAACTAGACCATTTTGGAGGTGTGTTTGGGACGGGGGGTGGTGTGTTGGGGGGTTCCTAGGAAAAGTTAAATGAATTCAGGCACAAACGTGCTAGCATCTCGGACCCTGCTCGCAGCAAAATTGTCCCGCATGTTCCCTGCAACTAAATCCAAACTGAACCAAGCACCAATCTTGCTGACTGTCATAGTTTGGGCTCAGTTGGATCCCATATTATAGCTCTTCAACAAGCATAGATCTATGAACAGCTTAATGACCCGAGACCTTGATTGGATATGTAAGTCTGGAAGGTTACGGGTCCATTGCCAGGGCCCAGTTAAGATTCGAGATTTGCCAGAAGCGGGGGCGAGTGCTAATCCATATCTATACTTCTGTGGTCAGTCACGTGTATTCCGGAACTCACTCACTGCAACGAACAGAAACGGGAAACAAGGAGCCCTCTTGAAAGGCAGCTTGGCATGAGCTACTATTGAGTGTTCGCATGTTCGCACAAACTAGTAGAAGGGGGGCTGCATGCATTGAGACGCGGGTTATCTTCATGTCAGGAAACCTTTGTCTCAGAAAATGGGCAAACGCCCCTTGGAATTGTGGATTCGCAGCAGAGCCATGGGTTAAACTGCAGCATTTAAGCAACAGCCTCACAACTAGGTCCTCCAGTAGAGAGGTTAGAATAAGGGTACCCTTTTTTCTGTGGATTTTAGTAGGGTCCCGAACCCTCCCCCGAAAAAGAAACGGTCAAAGTTGGCACCTAGCTGGGGGACCTAGATGTGCAAAGGGCACGCGAACCAAAAGCAGGTTTGAGAAGCCTACGCATCTTACCCCTTAAAACTCCAAGCCCTGGGGATTTCAATCTTTTACAGACATATAGCCCATGGTACCCCCCAGAAAGTTGAGGAAAGTTGTGCTTTTTAAGAGGTAAGTCTTCATTCCAATGCCCCATAGAACTCGAAGCTCCGCCTTGACCGTCTCCCCGTCGTTGGGGTTGGCCTGCGATCTGCGATCGCAAAAGCACGGCACTCCCAAGGCTTGCACGGCCACACGGCTACGCCTATCCTCGGCTGCGTTGCGTTCTGCTCCCCCGCTAAAAGTTAACTTTTATAGTGTGGTTTAATACGGAAAACCCACTAGTTGGCAAAAAGTTCAAGTCCTAACATCCAAGCAATGTGCACCAAAGTATCTCTATGGTCGGCTGGCGTCCGTTTCGGCACAAGCAAAAGCGTGCCAGCTTGAGATTCGGCTTGTCCCCAAAGGTCATTGCCCCTGGCGACCTTGACCCTCAGTTTTCCTGTTTCCGAAAAAGGGTGTACCACCCTTGTGGATGTGAATCAATCCCAAATGTGTCCCGGAAATAGCCTTGATCGAAGCGAGCCTCGCATGATCCCTTCACAAATGGACAACATGCAAACATTAAATAACATAACACACACACACACACGCTGTGCTCGCCCAATGCTACCGGTACTTGCTCCCACGGATTCTGGCCTACAATCCCTTTCAACTCAAGTCATCGACTCCAAGGAACTGGCAATGAGTGGCACCCGCTTCAAGGTCTTTCGGGGAACCAACGGATCCGGACGAGAGATTTAGGGGATCCGTAGCTGAAGATAGACCAACATTTCTTCAACGTGTTTTGTCTACATGTTGAAAGTCGTAAATTGCTAGATTCCATCCAACCTCCATGTCTTGGGAAAGGGACAGCGAACCTTTTCAGTGTATATGGGTAGCTCATCTGTTAGGTGCCCAAAATGCGTGTTATCCGTTTCCTTTAAACCCCAAAACATCCGGGCTGACATCTGGTTTATCTGCTTGGAAGCTCCAGAAACCCAGCAACAACTAAAAACAAGAAAGGCCCATAATTGCCGGAGAAGGCGCGCAAATTGAAATGGACTCTCCCTCAGGTAAGCCTTAATTGGTTGTTTGGAGCCTGGGGCCAACTCTTGGCTCTTGACGGATCTGAAAAGCCACCCTTGACCTCCAAACCACGCTCCACGCACTTCTTTTTGAGGGCTTGAAGCGGATTTTTTCCCAACCCGAATCGGCTCTGAGCCAATGCAGCTGTGGCTCAAAAGCCAAATCGGTTAGCCCCCAGTGAACATCAACCAATTCAACCACTAAAATAGGTTCTAAAATGGGTGGTGAATTCACCTACCGACCAAAATGGTATCGCCATTTTGGCTCCAATTCAATGTAGAAAAGGGCGCGAAAAACAGCCAGGTTTTTGAGACCGGGTCCCAAACACCCCCGGCATGTGTCTAATGCTTCGGGGTAGCCGAAGCCAGGAGCCTCTGGGTTGAACGTTTTTGAGGAAGTCTTCCCTTTCAACTCAAAGGGAAATTACCCTCGAAAACACCCAAGAAAGGCGAAATTATGCTGTGCCACTTTTTTCGAGTCGGGCGAGTCTTCCAAAGGCCTTGGTTCTGACCGCCCCCCGCGAAGCGCACGGCGGCCTCTCGGAACTCCGCGGCCTTGCGCTGAGCGCACCAGCGCCCGAGGTCGAAGAAGGGCGCCTCCGCCTCCACGGGCCCCACCTCGAGGCGCTCACAGCGGTCTGGTCGGTTTTCCCAGAACCAGGATGAACAGAAAGCCGGCTGCATGGCACCGATCGAACCTTGCAACTGCAACTTGGAAATGGTTTGCAACTTTATTTCGGTGGTTGCAAAACAAAAGCCAGCCACATGTTGCAACTTTATGCTTGTTGAAAAAGCCATCCATGTAACTCAACTGGTTGCAGACGCCGGAGATCCCGGGGAAGGGATCGATCCGAGCCCGGATGGAAACGAAATGAAATTCAGCGGAAGCCACCTGAAGCTGTGGCTCAAAAACGGAAGGCGCCAACGGAAGGCACCGCAAGGTAAATGGAAGACGAAAAAACCTGTGCGTAACCCTAGCTCTGTAGCTCTTTCATTTTGAGCCACACCCACCTGAGAAAACAATTGTTTTTTTTTTTTTCTGTTTCGATGCCCGGGTAAAAGCCGGCAAACAATGGGTTTCCAAAGAAAACAACTGGTGTTGCTGATGAGATTCTGTTGGAAAAGGCCGACAAATGATGTCCCATAACTTCGAAGTGGCGCGAACGGATCTGATGATTCCCTTGGACACGCCGGCAAATGGTGTTCCATGGCTTCCAAGTGGTGCGAAATGGTTTAACCGTCCACGGTACGTCTCTGAGAATCGGCTCAAAGGCGCCTTTCGTGTGCCTCTGAGATGCTCCAAACTCCGAAAGTGACCTTTTTAAGTCCAGGAATCCCCCAGGGAGTGAGGAAAAGACCCCCCCCAAAATGGGGGGCAAATTTTGGGGTGTCCTTTTGGTTGGCCTGGAAAGCCACACCGAAAGGGATACGTATCATAGAAAGACACACATTCACATGATTCAAAGGGGTCAACAAACAATTCCCCCAACGTCAGACCAATCAAAAGGAAACTCGTGTCAAATTGGCCGGTCTTGCATCGTTGTCCGCTGAAACGCCCGGGTCAGGTGACGGGGTGCCCAGAGAAAGAAGCGGAATTCAACGCCCCGATCGCACTCACAAGTCATTGGGACCCGACCTACCATGTTTTTTTGGTTTCCTCCGTTTTTTCCTCTCTTGTGTTTTTTTTTCTCGAAAGGAAGCCTTCAATCAGAACAACTTCTACAAAGGCTCGAAGAACCTGGATCTGAACGGTCATGGAGGAACCTTTTGACTGTTCTGGACAGCAACTTCACGGAAGCGGTCATTGAGAAACTCATCTGTCAACTAGAACTCAGTTCAGTGGGTGTCTGTTGAGGCCCTGCACCTTCTTCAGGGGAACCAAACCAGGCGGCCCGATTTGAAGACATACCCGCTTGAACATGAATAAGGACTTTGCTAGGTCTGGAAAATAAGGCAGCAAGGTCTGTATGAGGCAATGCGGGTTGGCTGGGGGTTGCGAAGGCAAGGCGCAAGGCCATACCTCTAAGTCAAAAAACAAAAAAATATGGGTGTGCAGGGATGTGTGTATATTCCCCAAGAGCAATAAGAAGCAGTTGCAAGAGCAAGAGCAGGTCGCTGGCCCAGTCGCTAGGAACCAGCTCGGGGACGTGGAGCAACCATCAGCATTCACCAGGGTTTGGTCTGAAAATAGGCGATCTAAAAAACTGGTGGGCCACCTTTTGGTTTCCCCGTCCAGGGGACGTTTCAAACGACACGCCCAACAGGTTGCAGAAATTGCCACTATGTTGCGCAACTTGAGGCCGCGCTTCTGTTCTACTCCTAGTCTTGATCCTCAAAAAACGGCTTCCAAACAGCCACAATTCACCAACCATTGAGAGACTGAAGGGACCTTCATCCCGAGCTCCTAGCTCACTGCCTTGGTAACCCAACACCGCTACGGTGGATGTTGTGTCCAAAGAGGTACAGGATGGAGCTCGCTTGTGCTCCCGAAAAGCACAGGCTCCAAAGAAATGCTGGTCTGTTTATCCAACGGTTTTTCAGGCAAGCTGGGCTGCCCTCAGATCCCCTGCTACACGCTAATTAGCTTTTAGTGGGTGCTATTAGCTTTTAGTTGGTGAAATGCAAACTACCACTAACCGCTAAACAGCTAAGACGCCCAAGGGTTTGAGTTTGTGCGGGGTCACATAAGGCAAAATGAGGTCAACCGGCAAACGGTGTGGGTTTCGGGGGGCAAACCCTTATGCCAGATGAGGTCACGTCACATGTCCATGCTTTCTTCCCCAGTCACAGTGGCTTCACAACGAATGGGAGCTTTGCTTTTCGGTTGCTTTCACTTCATTGGGCCCCTGGCAGCGTCATCGTCATCTGCCAACAGGATCACAGAATCCTCGGGAGGGAGCGATCCGTTCAATCAGCTCACAGCGAACTGTTCGAAACTGGCTGCTTTTGATGTTCAAACAAGGCAAAAGGAGAATCTAGGGGTCCAGCTGACTGAAAATCCGTGGCACTAGGGCAAAGTAGTCACGTGGTCTTTGTGGGTTGGCGTGTAGGGGGTGCCCCACCGGGTAGGGGGTGCCCCACCGGGTAGTCTTCCCAAGGAACATGAAACGATGCCACCAGAATTGCTGGGGTCAAAAATCATTCTTCCCCAGTTCGGTCTTTCAGATGGGGATATTGGTACAGTACAAAAATCACAGCAAAATCCACCACCCGTGGCCCAAGATCACCTCTTTGGGGTTCTGAAAGGGCTCCCTGGAACCATTCTAGGCACCAAAAACCGCCTCGAATGGTCAGCCTGAGGAAAGAGACTTTTCTTGAGAGCCGAAAGGGGGGGGGAAGAGGTTGGGGGACAGGGGAGAGGGTTGGGGGAGAGGCCTGGGGTAGGCGGCTTCCTAAGAAAAATGCGTTGCCCTCAGGCGACCAGATTTGGGCTTCTTGGAAAGAACCCCCTTCTTTTGGGTTTAACTAGGTTTGTCCAGTAGAGAGGTTAGAATACAGGCACCCCTTTTTCTGTAGTCTATGCTAGTAGGGTCCCGAACCCTCCCAACCAAAAATGTTGGTTAAAAGTTGGCACCTGGGGGACCTAGGGTTCCAAACACAACTCCTCGGGCTGGTGTTTCATGCCGATCACACGAAACGCCGGCGCCTTCGGATTAGGATTTGCGCCGAGCCAAGCTGCGTCTGCTTGCACCTCATACCTCGAAAAGCGCAAACGCTCAATAGATGCCCACTGGATCAAGCCACAAAACGATCCAAACGCTCTCGGGGCATGAGCTTCAATGGTGATAACATAGGTTCACCTTTTAGAAAAGTCGATGGGTTTCCCCGGTAGATGATGAAAAACCACCAGGTAAACCAGGGATCGAAACCCATCGATTTTCGGCCAAAACCACCAAAAAGGGCACCTATGGATCTAAAGGTTGACATCCGAACTACCTTGGGGTTGAAATTCCAATTCCATTCTTTTCAGCCATCGTTCTTTTCAAAAACCGATCGCCATTTCTCCAGGGCGTTTGGTGGTTTTCTGGAAACATTCGGATCCCTGGAAAGAATGGGGAAGTTACCCCTAGAGAAATACCTTGCATTTCGAGGTTGACATGAAAATGATTTCCCCCTCCCTCGTCTAAGTTGCCCGCAGGCTTCAATCTGCTCGGTTTCGACTTCCGGACATGCACATCGCTCAGGAACCAACACAGATGCAGCCTGGGCCACAAAAGATGGGTTGTTTCTCAGTCCCAGGCATCCCTACGACACAACCCGCAACCCGACTCCCGCAACCCGAGCAATCCAACCCTCAACAAACCCCAAACCAACCTGACTTGAGCAGAAGGAACTCTAAGCCCACTGCCAGGCTGAATCAACCCTAAACCAACTCTCCCGAACCCAAACCTTGAACCAACCCTACACAACCCTAAGCTGATTTCAAACTAACCCTGCACCACAAATCAACCACAGGACCTGGGGGAGAATCCAATTTGAGACACCCTAAACCCACCCTACACCACAACCCAACCGAAATCCATGATGCAGGGTCTCCTCCAAAACGGTGAGGTAGACTAACTATGACATGTCTACCAGACACCTGGCCGCAAGCAGGCTAAACAAAAGAACAAAGCAGGATCAGAGCATGCTTCTCTTTGAGCACTCCAGACGTAGGTTCATGTGTGCCAATGCCAGCTTTTGGGAGGGTACAATGTTGGCGGCTCAAGCGAAAACCAAAAGCGGGCCTTCGGGTGTTTTTCCAATGGAGGGATTTCCTTTGAAGTTTTCATGACCGTTTCACATAAGCCCATCCTTCTCGCGTGGCTTTTTTTTGGGACCTCTTCGGGCTCTTGTTTCGGAGCTGGACCCCTTTAAGACATTAATTGGAGTATGGGGGAGTTCGACGAGCATTGCAGGCGAGAGAAATGGAACTGGGCGACACGACACCCCCTAAATATAAGCAGGATGTGCCCGTGTGGAACATGGTAACTGAACAGAGGTTGACGCTTTAAGGTAAAAAGCAACACTCCCCCCCGAGCTTTCAGAAACGTCACAGAAACTCAGCCAGGCTCATGCACATTTCTCTACCGGAAATTGGTCAACTAAAAATCCCCTGATAAAAACCAGTCGATTCCCTCTAGGTCCTCCAGTAGAGAGGTTAGAATAAGGGCACCCCTTTTTTCTGTCGTCTTTTTTAGTAGGGGAACCTAGATATGATTGTGGAACGTATATCATAGTCAGGACAAGAGCACTCTACTGGAAATTGCTCAACTAAAAAATCCCCCCAAAAAAAACAACAAGTCAAGTCGATTCCCTGTAGACTTTCTTTCTCTACTCGAAATTGGTCAACTAAAGATCCCTCAAAAGAAAGCAAGTCGTTTCCCTGCAGACATAGGTGGCCTTTTGGAAAAATAGATGGGTTTCCCTGGTAAATGGGGCATAAACCCCATCTAAACCAGTGGAACCCATCGATTTTTAACCAAACCCTAAGAAGGACACCTATGCCTGCAGACTTTCCCTCGGTTTCCTTGAGAAAGTTGTTCGATCCAAGCCGCGACTTCTCGGGGTTCACCAGGTAGTTGCCCTCTCGGTCCACTACGCCGAGCGGCACGGTGATGGGGAACCAGAAGGGCAGCCTGGGAAACGTCGGGGAAAAAAAGCGCCTCTTGAGTGGATGGCCTAAAAAAAGGGTCAAAAGAAAAGTGTGTTTCTGTGTTTTTTTTCCTGGTTTAGGGTTGGTGGTCCACCAAAAAGTGAGTCAAGTCATCCCCAAACGTGACTCAAGTCCAGGACCTCAGGAAGTGTTTGGGTTTGGGTTTGGCTGCCATTTCCACTTCGGCTCAAGATAGGGGCCCCCTAAAAAGCTCCAATTTCTGACCACCAATCCCCAAAAAAGTCATGCTCCTTTCACCCCAAAAAGGCGGGTTTCGTTTTCATAAAAACAACCATTAAACAATGGCAAAAAGACAAGTCGAATACCTTTTACTCCTTCACCTGCTTCTCCATCGCAAATTGTCCATGTCCAAGGGCCCCACGATAAGCAAACTTCATCGGCTGCAACCCAAACCATTTGTGGGGTCCCGATTTGGCTGTGGGTCAAAACCAGTGGTACCATTTTGGGGTAGGTGCACCACTCATTTTAGTCTCTTTTAGTGGTGATTGGGATGTTCACTGGGGGTACGGAATTTTGAACCATGGCCATTTGTGTGGGTCCTTGCTTGTTGGTGCCATGGTGGTCGGTTTTACAGCGAACCCAAAAGGACCCCAGCAAAGCCACAGCCCCACCACCCTCTGCCGCGCATGCGTTGCAAGCCACTCTCGGAAGCTCTTGCCGACCACCCCCAGCTCCTGACATCATGTGGGGGTTTACGCGGCATGGCGCCATGGGTAAAGCTCAAGAAGGGAACGGATCTCAAAATTCTGCGGGTACCTTCCCCATTCTTTCCAGGGATCCGAATCTTCCTAGAAAACCTCCTTTGAAACCCAGGGGAAACGGCCGGTTTTTGGAAATAACGATGGTTGAAAAGAATGGAAAAGGAATCACCCCCTAGAATTATAGCGCTCAACATGGGCTCAACATGTCCGATCCCGCGATCGGATTTGGGCAGAATGCTTCGCACCTGTGACTTGCAGACCTCCGATTCGTGAGTGGAGACAAGCTTTGAAAAGCCACAGCACAAGTAGCGGGAGTGCCATCTTGAAACTGTATGCGCCCATCTAGTTGCTTCTCGATCTGTAATCCGCTTGCTGATGTAAGCAATGCCAAGGTTGCTCACAATCGGTTGCCTGCTCAAAACAGCTTGGAGTTTGTTTCTGAGGGAACCCCGTTTAGCTTTAGATTAAGGGAAACCAACAAGAAAGCCACTAATTGGGGGAACCCTCAAAAGAAGACACGCCGACATTGTACTTCTGCAATTCGTCCACACAAAAAGGGCACTGCAAGAGTTCTATGGCCTCCAAACGCATTTCAAGAGTATTTGACCCCACGGCCTGTTGGCGCACTCAGTTGGGCAAGAGATTAAGCACTCACGGAGAATTGCCAGGCAGGGTACTGGGGGCAGTCGATTGGGCTCCCTTGATCAACTTCCATGTAGCCAACAAAATTATAGACATCAAGTTACTATCCACAAAACAGAGGTGGGCAATCATTTGGCTCAGCCTGTGGCGTGTTTTCTGATTTCACAAGTCTTGCGGCAACACCATGCTCCATAATCGCTTTCCTGGGCTCGACATGATTCCTTGAAGGGAATCCCCAGGTTCGTTCCCTCATTCCCTGCTGACCACCAGCAAGATCAGGAATCTGAGCTTTTTACGTTCTTTTCCGGTTCATATCTCTCCACAGGAATTGGCCGCCGATGGCTGCGAAGCTAGAGGCTCTCGCACGGAAGCCTTTGGCGCAAGCTGCACAAGTCAGTTGCCAGACGGCCACCGAACGAATGCTCCGGGGTTTCTTGGTACAAACATCCTATGTTGGTACACATACCTTGGTTGACGTTGGAAGGGGAAAAAGCAACACTTTAAATTTTAGCAGTTAAGTGGTTGGAGTTCAACCACTAAACCACAATAAGCAAAAATGCAAAATGTTTCCCAACGACAACCATGATACTCCTCTAGGTGTGATCTTTATCGGGTGTTTTTTTTGCGCACGTCTTTTTGAGGACAAAACGGCTCAACTCGAGCCACCCCTTGCCGCCCGACCTCCGACCGCTTCTCCCCGGCGCCTCCGCCCCGGCGATGTAGAACTCCTCTCCGTTGAAGCCGATGATCTGGTTGAAGACCGAGCAGAGGCCTGGCCCCCGACCCCAGCTTTTTCCGGGAAGGCACGCCCAAGGGAGAAACGTTGGAAGGATTCCTTAGGCTATGGGAGAAACGTTGGTGTCTAAGGATTCCTCAACCTATAGAATATATATATATATACCCTGACAATCCAATGTATGCATATATCGCCTACATTGGCCGACGCCAGCGTTTTTCAACTACATTGACCGATAAACCTGAATGTAGCCAATTTTTGGGGACATTCAAACCGACAACTTCCGACAAGGGTTCCGACAAGCCTTCCGACAACAAGCTCGCCTCAACGCCTTTATGCAGGAAAATACAAAGGCGCGCCGTAAATTGATGTACGGACAAAACTTAAACTGCGAATGACTGGCAACAGCTACAGGGCACAATCAGGGCACAAAATGACGAGAGCCAACCCCGGCTATCATTGTCAGTAAATGTTGGTTGCCTGGCGCGCAAAAGAAGGAATCCACCAGCATAGTGTAGCAGATCCCGCTGAGGGCTTCCGATTGTAACGTTAACCTTTTTGATGGGCTGGCTTGCTTGACGAAACAGTGTGACGACGAAACACGTGTGCGATAGTTCAAACTTTTCAGGCCACGCCATGAAGCACATTTCCAGCGCAGGATCACACTAAGGCAACGCCGGTTAGCAAAGATCACTCAACAAACATAATTATTGCGCATGGAGGACAACAACTCCTTGCAAAACACCTCGCAGCAGGAGATCCCGCCAGTCACTCTCAACAAAACCTATCCAATCGCTCATGGGGGTTGATGCCCCCCAAACTAATGATGAAGCAGAATGATGTTGCATCGTTGTTGTCCACAGGAACACAATTTCGTCAACTTGCCCGTGTGTAGCTTAAATGCGTGTTGCTTCCTGATTGCTTGCAAGCTGCAACCTCTGCCTTTGCGAGCTTAGTTGCTATTATGTTTGATGCGTGCCTACGCAGGGGCGATGGGTCATCATGACAAGCTTGTTCGCGGGCCATAAACCGTCAACCGAAGGTAAGGGGTCTAATTTCCAACGATCACATCTCCAACCAAATACTTGCTTAACACCATGCCGCAACCCAGAGCGCAGGCCCAACTTAAAAAGCCCTGGTTGTTCAAAGCAGGTGTTTCATTTCTTTCCAGGAGGCTCACTTTAAACGCATGCTAGCCTGCTAGCAGTTCCCAATCACCATTCGAGCGGCAACTGCTTGCCACACTGGTCAGATAGTGATTAAGGCTCTAAGCCTGCCATGCCCCCATGCCGCAATGCAAAATTCACAGACTTAACAAAAAACAAATTGCTGTACTTAACAAACGTGGATGTCAAACGAGATGTGCTGGGAAGGGCTCAAGCGGCGGTCTTGAGGAGAATGATTGAGACTGGACGCACATGACGCAGTCCAAGCCCCATATGTTGCTTTGCAAGGACTCGGTTTTTTGATGAAACCCAACTATAAAGGACACACGTAACATGTTTGTCTATTGCTCTCCTTGATTAAACATGTCCTTGTCAGCTTTTCTGCGAATGTTTTGGGCTCAGTGCTTTGCCCTCATTGGGCATACGCGCTAGTAAGCCATTTGTTTGACAAGCGTTTCTCCGCTGTTTCTAGGCCAGCTTGCCAGCTGACGCCAACAATCAAGCCACATCAGTTCCAACTCACGGCGCCAACAAAAATCGAGCCTCGTCCGACGTGTCATCGCGCGAAATCACGCGTTGCTTCTCGTAAAACGCGTGGACAACACACGAACACAGTCCGGCAAAAATTCACGCTATTTCACGCTATTTCACGGTTTTCCGTTAACGTAAGCAAAAATAAGAAGACAATCCGACAACTTTTCACGCCAAATCACGCCAAATCACGGTTTTTCGTTTGCACAAGCAAAGGACAGGAACACAATCCGAGAAGAAGTCACACAAAAACAAACGAAATTTGTTGGGTCGTTTGCTCCAAATCGCTAAGAACATGGTAGGGACATACTTTGGTCAGCCAGGGGGAATAAACGGACCTTTGCTGAACTGCTTCTGGGGAGCCACATAGCAAAAATAGGTACTTGTTGGGCCTTTAGTAGACGTTCGAACTTCATTGAAGAGTCGTTTGCTGACAGAGAAGTTCATTCTTGCGCGGCAAGCTTTGAATACGCAAGACTGAGCTTTTTGCATGGTTGATGCGAGCCCAGAGCTGATGCGAGTAGACAATCCGGATGCTGAGTCTCCAGCATGCCAATCAATACTCAAGAGCTCTGAAGACATGCATGCTAAGCTTGGTGGCTCCTTATCCGAGTTTACATAGCACTTAGTATTGGCAACCGAATAATTGACATAATTACATGTCGCGCGTGCAGCATCATATATCCCATGCTCAAGCGGCAAAACGCCAGGTCTGCCCAATCGCAATGCAGTCATTGTAAACCTACAAATAAGAACACTGCTCTATGTTCTGAGCTTAGATATTCATTATGTTGAGCTGCATGTGTACCTAAAGTCTTGTACATGTGTATACACAGTAAATTTGCACATACATAAGATATGTGTGTCTATGTTTTGTTTAGCGGAATTAAAAACAACGCTTTTTGGTAAGATAAATTGGAGTTTCTTGTTGGTATGCTTGGACATCTTGCTGCGTAGATTGAGCACACTTGAATGGCCAACAGTTACTGGGCGGCAGTTGGGAGTCGACTCGGTAGGCCAATTTGGTTCGGCGCTCCTCATATCTCAAACGTTCGGCACAGCCAGAAAAATGTCCATACTTGCAATTGCCTGTAGGCTGTAGTGTTGTAACATAAATCCCTTACAGTTGATACATGGCTGTGCTTTCCAATGCGGCTCAAGGTCGGCAAGTCCGTTCCTTTGGCTCAGAGCATGTTGAATTTGCAGGGTTTTCATTTCAAATACGCATAACTCGAGATCAAAGCACGTTTACATGAGCAATAGAGCTCGAGGGTGGCTTTGCGTTGCACGTCCGACCCCATGTTGGTTGGCAGCGATAGTGCCAGTGGTCGAACAGTTTGCGTACTCAATACTTAGAGCGGCTTTCTCATAAGAGTGCACCAACGCTGCACACACACACAGTCCCATAAGAACTGCCCATATGCACGAACAGAATCAATCTCGCAATTGTGGATTTCGTAGCCTGCTCATCCGGAAAACAACACTTGCAAGAGTCTGATGGCAAGCTCTCAACCATCGCTAGCTACACACATCATCAAATGTCCATGTCAATAACGTGGTGTTTACACTTGCTGAAGCAAGTGCAAATTAATGAAAGCGAAGTTGCTACACAACAGTGCTTTGGCAAATAGAGCAAGTTAGCAAGCAGGATCATTGCCCCCCTGAAAAACAAGTATGCTCAATAAACTCCGTCACACTCGGGTTCAAATTTGACTATCGGACACGAGCTTCGTCAAATCTCCTCAATTTTCAGGCAATATTTCGACATTCGACGGGGATTCGGCGAATGTATCATTTTTTGGCTATATTTCGACAATCCGACAGGGATCCGACGAATGTTGTCGTTTTTGTTGCTACATTGCCAATGTACCCCAAAAATGGCTACATTGCAATATACGCCATATTTGCCTACATGTATATATGCAATGAACACATGGCAAGGGTGGTCATTGGTGCGCCCAAGGGAGAAAAAAGCGTTGGTGTCTTGGTGGATTCTTCCTGAGGCTATGCCATGTTAACATATGAGGCAAGGGTGGTCTCAAACGTCCACGTCCTTAGGCTATGCAATGAAAACATATGGCAAGGGTGGTCATGTGCAAATGGTTTTCCGTTGTCGATAGAGATTCAACTGCTCACATGGTACAGACTACTTCTATCAATTTCATTGTGGCTCAAATAGTGTTTTCCATGTGGTGTACCTAGGCCCCAGGCTACTGAATGGGCTGGCCTCAAGTCTGAATTCCGGGGGTAGTGCTTCCAGCTACAAGTATAGCAGGTATCCAGAAAAAACGCATCCTCTAAAATCCATTGGTAAAAAATAACGGTTTCCTACTATAGTGCTAACTGGAAGGGCTCAGGTAATCACAACAATGCACCAACACAACTTCCAGCGAGCCTTGATCCTGCAAGCTCTGCACCATGACACGGCCCAAGCGCTCCCCCGACAGAATGAAGGTCTTGTCGTACAAGTCTTGCATGTACTGCACCTGGCTCCCCATGGCCATGGAATCGGAAAACCAGGCGAAAACATGCTTGTATGTATGTGTTTCATTGTACATGCATACCCAGAAAAAGCCAACAAAGCGCGCTGATTTTCACACGAGAATGCTCAGTTCACGCAAACATGCGCAATGAGATCGGGGCTCGTTGTCTCAATCGGACACACAATATGTTCCTCAAGTGACCTAGCGGAGGGTCCAGGTAGATCCATTAATAGTACCATTGCTACATATGACATGTATATTGATATGAGTGCTGCAACAACTGTGGTGCATCGTGATAGGTTGTAGTGCATGTAATGTTCAGGACATGCCTTAGTCTCTCAATTATCATTATGCATGTAATCTGTCGATCACGTGTGTGCGTGTATAGCGCACAACTGATGGCGATTTCGAAGCAATCAGACATGATGGCATGTTTGCTAAGGCTGCTACGCGACATGTCGCTTTTGGCAAACCGTGTCGGCGCTTGGACAGCTTTCGCGAGGTGCTATCCTTTTTTGGCATCTCATACGAGTGTCGCAGGTGAGCGGCCCCATGCATGGGAGCTTCGAATATCTAAGGAACGCAAACGGGGGCAATCCGGCCGCACAAGTTACCCGATGGCAAGAGCCCTGCAGGCCAATGGGCTAAGCTGGACAATTTTTCCGCGCCCGGCACCGCTGGATAGGTAGGTTGTTCTAGCATTGGCGTTCGCTGGCGCATGGCGTGGGTTTGTCCACAGGATTGCGAGCCGCGGGGCATTGCGGCCAAGGCAGCACTGGACCGCGACGTAGCCGTTGTTGGGCCAACCTAAGGCACGCATCCCTACCATTTCTGGTGCCAGTAAGAAAAACTGGTCGAACTCGCATGCTTGTGAGAGCCAACTCATTTTTTCCCAAGCCATGAACATGGCCGGTTTACCGCTTTGGTGACTGGCCCTTTGGTGAAAGTGGATGGCTTATCCCCCCACCCAAAAACCCAAAAACCCAAAAACCCAAAAACCCAAAAACCCACCCACCCACCCACCCACCCACCCACCCTCCCCATTGCAGTCGTCCCTTTACTCACCCAAGAAAATTGCGCGCGCCATCTATTTGCTCCCTGTGTTCCTTTTCTCTAACAAAGGAATCGGACAAACGTTCACCAACAGGACAATGCCAGAACTTCCTGTCAGTTTGCATGGTGGATGCTTGTCCTCACGCGAGTCACAACGCAAAATTCCATTTTTGCTTAAGCGTCCGCTTTTGGAGGGAAAACAAATGCGCAATTTGAGGTGTGGCATGGCCTCGGAAGCTGGGGGCTGGGGGCCATGTTTTTCGCCAGATGGAACCCTTAGGAATGCCCTGTTTCAGGTCAGGGGTCAACTCAACCCCATGTTGCATGTTTGAGACAAACACTTGTTTCCCTGTTCAGGGGCCTTACGTTGTTGCTTTTTCTTCCCCGCAACACACGGTCCAGGATAACATTGGGCTCCATGGGCGGGCTCGTGCAAAGCGGGTGGCCACTCTTGCCCTGGCCCTTGAGGGTCAGAAGGATACCCATGGTCGCGGCGTCGGACTCATCCAAGGACACCTCAGGATTTGTGTGAGCCAGGGGTCCAGCTCAAGCTCCGCCTTTTAACCTTGTAGAGTCCCTTGGTCTTACAATCCAACTTGGTTGATGCTCTGATCTCCTGGTCCCGAGATTCAGTTTGATGAATCCGGCGGTTGCCTAGCATTGACCCCGGATTCACAAAGCTGGCCCGGGGGATCACCACCCTACTAACCGTAACATGGCTGGTTACGTACAACAGGGCTTACTGTGATGCACCGGGGATCCACAGGAGGTGCTTCCTCCCAAAGCAAAAGACCCATCACCAGCGTGCCATGGTGCTTCGTGGGGATGGAAAGGGGATGCCCGTAAGAGTCAGCAAAGGCTTGGGAGCGACAAAGGCAATCCAAACACATGCCGACAAATGCAACTTCTGAAACCATCCAAACAAACCCTGAGATTGAAATGCAAGAACAAATGATGCAAGATCAGTCCGGTCCCAATCAATGCGAAGTATTTGTCAAAATTAGACTCAGCCACTAGCCTTCTCACTGACTACTGGCACGACATGGAAGGCCGGCGAGCAAAGCAAATAAGGTTTCCTCGACCTGCACTTTCAAGCTTTATGCACCCAGCGGATTAATTTCAAATTCACCTGAGGCTGGAAAGGACACCACCCGACTAAAAGGACGGAAGGGTTGCCCAAAACGCCTTGCCTATTGACATTGAAACATTATTCTAGGGGTACCTTCCATTTCCATTCTTTCCAGGCATCCTTCTTTCTAAAAACACCACCCACATCCCTGGGAAGCAGCTTGGAAAAGAACGATGGTTGAAAAGAATGGAATTGGAATTTCAACCCCTAGGCCTTGGAGAGCAGCTCTGCCCTGCCTGCGGATTCTCTGGGATGACAATGCGAGTCGCACCTCGGGCAATGCTGAGCCTAATGGAGGCTGAGGAGGCGAGCCAACATGGGTGGCTTACTTTCGGTCTCCCTCGAAGCCTTAAACACACGGGACCTTCCAAGTGACTCGCCCGCATGTTGAAACCACTTTTGCTGATTGGGTTCTTCTTCCGACCGCATTACGTGTTGCTGACATTGCTGAAACATCAACTCTTTCTGTCTTCAAAGGCGTCCAAGGAACATGTTTCAACCAATGCCCCCTAGTCGTTTCGATAGAATGGGCCTGGCCCCTGCACTATCAGCTTCCCCAACAACACACCAAAAAAGAACGTGTTTTGGTTCAAGAGACCCTTGCTGAAAGTTCAGGTGTTGCGGGTTCGTTTAAAACCGTGACTATTCCAAAGCGTCTTTCCAGTTCGCTCGGTCAAACCAAGAGCCACCAAGAGGAACTATTGCCAGGACTATTGACTGAAGGCCTCCTATCCATCTCTTTGCTCTGATGGGAAAGCATGCAACAAGCACTCCTGGGTTGTCGGGTCTGCGACCTCAAATCTTAGGTTGCAACCCACACCCAGCATGGTACAAGGGTCATCAGAGACCCCTTTCCGGCCTCAAATGTCGCCTGTGCCGGCTCACAAAACGGCATTCCGTATGGTGAGAGAGGAGCTTGCAAGCAGTGTAGCTCGAGCTTCACACGTTCACCGTCTGCTGCATCAATCAAAACACATGGACATATCGCCTCGCCTAGTTCGATGCTCCCGAATCTTTCAGGCTCGCTACCCACTGCCACGGACCATCCTTCAATTGATCAATGATGATAAAGTCAAATGGCCGTGGGTCAAAACCAATGGTAGCAGTTTGGGGTAGGCGCACCACCCATTTTAGAACCTATTTTAGTGGGGATTAGGATGTTCGCTGGGGGTACGGGGATTTGACCCATGGCCAAATCTCATTGCAAGAACTTGGAGGGTCTAAAAATACTATTATCTTTAGCATCAAACTAATTCATGCGGGAGCAAGATTTGTGGGACTCCTTGGTGCATCCACATTTCTATGAAGTGATGCCATCCGCCGCTCCCTGTCCAAGAACAAGGGGTCCCCCAAACGGCCACGTTGCACCGAATCTTTGACATGGTTCAACCGAGATGACACTCTATGGTTGACAAAAAGGCTTCTTTCAAAAAACCCGTCAAAGGGAAACAACAACAAACACACACACACACAAAGACGCTCCCAAGGTTGGCAAATGTTGACATCGATTAATTCGGAGGACCGTGCAAAACCAGCGGGGATCAATCCGAAGTCTCATGACCTAGAGCCCGTGATTCAAGCCACACACGGAGCAAGCTGGCTGAATTTCGATCCAACTGACCTTCAAACAACTAAGACATCAGGTGCTTTGCAGTTGGAAATCATTCCATGCTTTGTTCGAAAGGTTCAAAGTTTAGATCCCTCGCCCTCGCTGGATGTCCTCTTCGGAATATCCTTGTTTGAATCACGGAAAGTGCATGATGCCAGGTAGTGATACAGGGCCATGTCGATTCGGGGGTTGTAGGACACCATTGAATGATGTAACCCTATTCAACTTGGATGTTGAACCTGAGCTGTCCTCAGATCCCCCGCTAAAAGTTTCACTTGTAGTGGGCCAAATGGAAAGCCAACCACTAAACAACTTTAAACAGCTCAAAAGCTTTCAGAACCGGATTCGGATGGCAGTGGTGTTGCCACCCACGCAACAGCCACAATCAAGTCGGATGCTCGGATGCTCGGATGCCGTCTTCCCCGGGGCTGGCACAGTCTGCGCCCACCTTCCATAAGTCTGCTTTGTCGCCTCCGTCCGAACACCCGCGAGATGTTTTTTTCTGCGAGCTGTGAGCAATGTGGTCGCAGAAGTGTTTTAGGGATGGCCTTCATCATGGGCAATCTTTTCTTCACCCCCAAGTTCAAAGACAGGCGCCAAGGGAGGGGCCTTCATCATGGGCAATCTTGCTTCACCCTCAAGGGAGCTCGCCAATGGACTGAAAGACAGGCGAAACTCTATGAATTGCCTCCTGATTGTTCTGCCACGGATGTTCTTTCATCTGGACTGAAAGTGGGGCCCGCTACGCCAGCACGACTGTACCTACAACATACAGCATGGGAGCTGAACCAGAAAACTCTGCCATGTGATGTTCTGCAGGCAGGAAGCTGAGTATTGCAATTTGGGAGCGTTTTTTTCTCCTAAGAATGCCTCACAAGATGCCATCGACTGGAGAGGGTCCTTGTGTATATAATTCCCTGGCCATCACACGTCTCTCGGACGGAGAAACTTGATTGAGCCTCTGTTGGCTAGTCGGATATTCGAAAGGAAGAGCGGTGCAACTTGCTTCACTTCCTGAGTGGATGGCCAAAAGCAAGTCCAATTTGCTTAATTTCCCACTAGAAGTCTAGCTGCCTTCTTTTCAGGAAACCCTCAAAAACCAAGGGCAAACAGCTGGTTTTGTGAAAAGAACAATGATTGAACATGATGGGGAATTAACCCCTACCCTCCCACCAACTAACATGGAAGTGCAAAAACCTCCTTTCCAGGAGAAAAGCAGGCTTTCTACCGGGGTCTGTGCACTTGCATGTTAGTCGGTGGGAGGGTAGAATGGTCTTCCCAGCAAGTTCGCAGTTCCTGGACTCAGGAAGTGAGTTGTGGGGCTGCCAATTCGAAGGCCTTGAGCTGGGCACTCGCGGGAGGAGTGGACTCAGAGTATGCCTGAACGCCCCAAAAGTTTCACCAGTCTACCTGAACCCTCAAAATTCCCCCCTAAAAACGAGAGTTCTCGCTCCCAGTTTTTATGGGTTGCTGTTCAAAATCCAGGTACTAACACTCAGCCAAATCTGCAACCCGACGGCATCTTCGCTTTGGTCGCCTCTGGTTGGGCATCAAGACGACTCGACTCGTCTTTTGGTTTTGTGCCGACCGCCCTGAAAAACAAAAAACCTTTAACAAAAACGGGGAAAATGGGAAAACCATCCTTAAAAAATGGCCCTCCACAATAAGATGGAACAAACCATGGTGCCGCAGCACAAGCTATCCTAGCTGAGATATAGTTCTCTGTCAGTGGGCCATCCCCAAGACTATCACTTCAGGAAAGGCCATGATAGCGCGGAACGTCACAGCCTGAAACGAGTTGCTAAGAAAGCCATAGAAACATGGGGCAAACCATGGCAAAACTCGAATGGGATCCACGAGAATTTCTTCGCCCAGAACAACTCGAAACGAAAAGTGGCCAAGTGTTGGGCTGCAATTAATTCACATTCCCAAACGTGAAATTCAGTCTTGACCAAGCTATCTGATCAGTAGGGTTGCACTATCAGCTTGACCAAGCTATCTGATCAGCAGGGTTCCCACTATCAGCTTGAACTAAACATGGCGGTCGTAGAATGGATGCGCACCCTGGATGGCCTGCAAAGCCTAGGAAAACGCACCATGTCGAGGGGGAGGTATGTGGTTGTGGTTTGAATGTATGTTGGCCAAGCAACTGCTGCAAACAGAGCACAAAACCCGTGCTTCTGCGCAATGTTTTACCTGCATATGGCCCAATTTTGAGAGAACACACGAATTCGGCAGGGTTACTTCTTCACACGGCGATCCTCTAAAAACCAGCTGGTCAAGTTCATATTTTGGACTGACCCACATGGGTGTGAACTTTAGGGGGGCCCTTTAGTGGACATCAAATCTAGGGGTAAATGGCCACGAACAACTTGTGAGGTGGTTACCTATAAAGATTCCTAGCCACAAATATCCTTCAAGGGGCCCTGTTCGGGAGAGCTAAATGCTGCGTAGTCCCATACGACTCAGTCCCTTTGGAGCCTTGGATGGATCCATCCGTTGGGGGATTCCCGATGTGATTCAGCAACAACCCTTCCAGCAATTCCTCTTTTGGGTACCCTCAAACCTACAAACAAGACTATTCTGCCATCTACCCCACCCCTACCCCAAGAAAAAGGCAATTGTTGATTGAATATTAGCTATCATGAGGACCCTGCAAAACAATACACTCAAACCTCCGAGAACAGAAATAGACAACGTCCCAACCCATCGGACGCTCCGCGCTACTGTCGCCTCAAAAACGGGCTTAGGACCAAACCAGAACAGAAACAAGTGGGTGTTCATTCGACACCTCCACATGTCAGCCGCTGAAAGGGGCGCCTTTTAAACGAGGCTGGGCCACTGGAGAAAAAAACAAAACAAAAAACGAAAGACCGAAGCGGCCACCCCGTTTTTGGGGGGGCCGAACCGAGTTTCTGTCCGGGGCACAGGTCTTGCCGTTGCGCACTACCAGCTTGAGATCCCCCAACTCCGTGTTCATGGCCTCGATCTCGTCTTCCACCTCCTCGAGAAGAAGAAAACTGGCGAGTGCGAGAGATGCGGGGAAGCGACGAGAGATGCAGGGAAGGAGAGAAACCAGGGATTCCCTTTGCAAGGGATTCCCATTGAAGGCTGGTCATCGTCCGCAAACCACTTGCATATTTTGTATTTGTTTTCGTACTTATGCGGGACGTGTCAAAACAGGGGACCCCCACCAAAGAAACAAGAATAATTTGCGTTTATCCTTTTTGTCTCCTTTTGATTTGCCTAACCACCGGCACCCAAAACCCAAAAAAACAGAAGAATCATGTGTTTATCCTTGTTGCCCAACCACCGGCACGAACCCTGGCACCCAACAAACCACACACAGCCACAGAACCTCGGCTCGCCGAGTCGTAGGGGCGGCTCGCCGGATGACTCCTGCTTGCTTTGGTTCGCCAGGATCACCACCGTGGTGGGCTTGTCGTCCGCCTCGCACAGCGCGAACTCCTCGAGCCTCGGCAAAAAAAACACCGAAGGATGGTGGAAACGAATGGAAAAGGAATCAACCAGTAGAAAGGTGGAAGTTTTGGTTTTGGCAAAAAAAAGGAAAAAACACAATGCAAGCTAAAAAGTTAAGAGAAAAGCTAAGGGAACGGCTGGGACCCACCAAGGGCGGCAACATGAGTTCCCAGACAGGTCGAGGAGTGAGTAAGTTTTGGGTGTTTTATATTTTTTTCTCCGGAAAACAACTAGGTCCTCCCGATTTGAGAGGTAAGAATAAGTTGGTACCGACTGTATGCACAAGTCTATTTGAGCAGGGGAACCCAAAATCAACCGACAAAGTTGGGAGAGAAGGGCGCCTAGCCGGGGGACCTAGCTAGCCCTGACAGGGCTCTCGGTGAGCAGGGGGGGCCGGAAAGCTATGAGCTATGGAGCCGGGAAGATGAGCCTATGGTCAGCTTCCCTTAGGAGTCATTAGGTTCTTAAGTATGGCTCATGGTCATGCGCCCTGAATTGGAATCACTACACAGGTGAAACATCCTACCAAATGGTGCATGCCACAGGTTTGAGGGCATGCCTGTCAAGGGGAGTCACCAAGCCCTTGAATGGAGTGACATTGAACCTGGTATGACCATGGTCAAAAAGTGGCTAAGTGGCTGGAAACCCGGGACTTCTCCCTTGGTTAATGGGGTGTCCCCGTTTAATGCACGGAATCCACTAGGTGGATGAATTCGGGGTCGACAATACTCGGGTAAACCCCCCCCCCCGCCTCCCACAAAAAAAGGCGGCTGCCCTCTTGGTCTCCAAGAACGTACATTCGAAAAACTGATGTTCAGAAGAACAGAGCCAAACTAAAACATAAGGCCAGAAAGAGACCAAGCGAAGACCACAAGGAAAGGTGCCCGGGGTACACTCCCCAAATCAAATCAATTCAATTTCGCCGCGTTTACGTCGCAAAACCGCCGGCGGCTAAAAGCATCCGCTTTGGATCGATTTTTTTTGTTGGGCGAAGCTGCTCGATCTCAACACCCCGAAGCCTCTCCAACTCCCCGCACACATCTTGGTTGACGTTGGAAGGGGAGCACAAACTTAAATTTTAGCAGCTAGTGGGGATTTCCCACTAAACCACAAGAAGCAAACATGTAAACTGTTTCCCAACAACTCCCACACATCCCACACAAAAACAAAAAACATCTTGCCGTTCACGACGTGGGCATTCAGGGATCCGGATGCAATAGAAGCACCTGAACATTGCAACTTGTAAATGGTGGTGTCCAACTTTACTTTGGCGTTGAAACAAAAGATGTTTCAAATGGTTGCAACATGTATCTTTTAAGGAGCCCTGTTCCAAGTCCATTGTAAGCCTTGGGGCGCTGGGCGCCATTCCAACATGCAAGTTGGAAAGTCTTATCGCCTACAGGAGATCCAAAATGAACGGGAAGCGGTCGAGCTCTCTCGTCGATTCGCTGAGCCGAGTCGAAAGAACAAAGAAGGGACCTGGATCCAAGACGGATCAGCATCATGGCGGCTTGACGTTGAAGGCCAACATCTCTATCACGTGACGCTTCTTTGGAAAGGGAAACCCATTTAGATCATTCATCCCTGACATGTTGCGGAACAAAGACTTGGGCAATCCTCAGGGCGACCCTAGATCACTAAATGTGTTCTTGCACACGTTGTTGTTTGGGGCAAGCGATGGGAACCCGTTTGATAGAATCCTTCGAACCAGTAACCAGTCCTTCTTTGTCGGTCATCCGCACGCTTGGAGGTTGCCACTTTGGCATACGTGTCGCTGAGATGGAAATTCCATGGCCACATCTACCAGATCTCAACGTGTCCCTTCAGAGCCTTTAATTCGTCGACCAACAAAATAACAAGTTCGAAGGACTTCTTGCCGCAAAAACAATGTGCCCCAACCGACATTGGAATTTCGTGAGAACCCGCAATTGGCATTTTGGTGAGTGTGCATTCTGTCATGCCCTTTAGCGTAGATGACCAAAATCTTCACTGTTGCTCTGGGAGTTGTCATTTCCGGGCCCTGTTGGGTATCCACTTCAGGCGGAAGGCGGCACTGAACGTGTCCGAAAGGGGCCATCCTTGATCATCCCTCGCTAGACTTCATCTACCCAAGTTTTTGCTGACTGTTCCCAATCACCAAGGCGCAGCTGCTTGGTCTGCACCGAGTGCCCCAGCAACTTGGCGCGAGCTGGAATCTGGGACTCCCCCCCTCCATATTTGGGGTACCAAACCAAACCAAAACACACCGGATGTCCGGCGCACAGGTAAGAACCTACCTGCCACGGCCAAAATTGGACTTGGACTACTGCACAATTCTCTAAGGATAGCTTCCCCATTCTTTCCAGGGATCCTTCTTTCTAGAAAACCACCAAAATCTCTGGGAAAACAGCTGGATTTTGAAAAGAATGGAATTGGAGTCAACCCCTAGAAATTCACCTAAAAAAAGCCCACACGGTCGCCAGAAAGCCAGGGCACCAAGAGGTGGCCACCCTCCACTACCGGGTCTCGGCCCTGCTTCGACGCCTGAAGCCGTTTTGAGCGCCGTTTTGAACGCCGAATCTTTTTGGACGGGACTTGAGATGGCAACTGGGTATGGGTCAAAATCAAACTACCAGGAAATGGACCGCAGGTTTTGGTCCATGTTTCCACTTAGGGTTCCTTTTGGGGGTTGCCCTATTTTTTAGCCACAGCCAACTGGGAGTGACCATGGCGACCATGTTTCCAGTTAAGGGGGGATGTTTGAGGGTCAGTACATGGGCTTCCAGCCCCTGCCCGCTGCCATGGTTGCTAGAAAACGGCCTCAATCTATATATGTTGAAACCCCATAGCCAGCAGGTGAGACGCGACAAGCCGTTGGCGATCAAAGCCATCTGCAAGTTGCCAGGGTTAGGGTCAACTGCAAACACCCCGAGCCGCCGGTCGACTGGGTATCCTTTTGGCGAAACTGATCCGACATGCCACGCGTTGTTAAAGGAACAATGGAAGCCAACCCGACAGAGCCAAAGGGCAAACGGAACACTTCGGTTCAGTCTGGCAATGTGTTGGTTGCACAAAAACACATCTCATATGCCGATTCCAAGCTCCCATAATATGGCTATAGAACAGTTTTCCCGGACTTTCCCTGACTTTCCTGGTAGAATTTCACTGCAAGGATCCCGCGGGATCTTCAAGGCCACAAGGGCTCCCACTGTAGTGGAGTCCCGCCTGTTTTGCCGCAGGGTGCCGGTAAGAACAGTTCCCTCTGGTGCCATGCGTGGGAGGTTTTTGGCATGCTTAAAGGAGACACTCGAAATCCACAAGAGTTACCCAGGGATCCTCTGAACCATGAAGGGACAACAGCTCTTGGTACACCAAGCATCAAATGTGCTGATTTCGTATCATACAGCGCAAGCACTGCAGAAGAAATCATTGTATAAGAAATCGAGCGGCTGAGACTGCCAAATCAAGTGGGTTGCAGCCGCATTTGCTTCAAGAAATTGAGCCCCTGAATTTATTGGAGTCCTTCTTCACCCGGAAAGGGTTCCAACATTCCAGTGACCGCTAGGAAGTTGCGCCCCTCGTCACCGGAAAAGGCTGCTAAGAAATTGAGCCCCTGAATTGCTTAGCAGACAAGGTTCAGAAATTGGCTAAGAAATCCAGCCCCGCTAGCTCCAGAAAGTTAAAGCCAGCTCTTGTACAAACACAATGGACGCGACTGTAAAAAAATCAGCCCGCCCGCCCCTCGACCAACCAATTTCTTATACAGTGATCGCACTGCATTCAATGCTGAGAATAACCTGAGGGGACCCTAGCCAGGTACCGTTGACCCCGGATCAAGAAACAATAATGAGGTGTCCCCTGTTTGGTGGTTGGATTCATCACATGTAGGCAACTACCCACCCCCTGTTGAATTAGCATGGCTTGTTTGTTCAATTCCGGGGTCAGCATATTTGAGTCGCTGGGAAAAACAAGAAAACATACTCAAATGTCCAATAGTAAGACATTCCCTTTTAAACCAACAGTGGACCATAAAACTAATATCTTCTTCAGCAAATGGAAGCATGCGGGGTTGAGAAATGGGTATGGGTGAGTCAAAATTAAACCAGCAGGAGTCTGCAGGTTTTGGTCCATGCTACTTGGGGTTACCCTATTCTTGAGCCACAGCCAACTGGGAGTGGCCATGGTTCCAGGGGAGGTTTGAGGGTCAGACGGTCTTCCAAACCCCTGTCCACTGTGGTTGCCGGAAAACAAGCTCAGCCCCATGGCCAGCCGGGAAACAAGCCGAGCCCTTGGGACGTGCAAAATGCTTCCCACGACAACCATGTGAGTCGCACTCACCTGGTACTAAAATGGTCGACCCAGAACCAGGGATTTTCCCACGTTCATCTACCTGAATCGGTTTCGGGTTTTGAGCATTTTGAGCACGTGGCTCATGTGAGTCGAGATCCGTGCGTCGAGAGATCCGTGCGTCAAAATCGTGCCTCCACCTGCTTGGCGAAGTAGTCCGAGATCATGGTCAGCAGCACCGCCAGCAGGACCAGGCCGCCCAAGGTGGTCAAGATCCCCACGAAGCCCGTGATGGCCTTGGGTCTCTGACTGAGCGCAGCTGAGTGTGGTGGCATTTTCTCATAGCCCACAAAAAAGACGGCGAATCTAGGAGAGCCGCTGTGAAAAGTGGTGTCCCCTAAACTTTTGTGTAGGTTTGTCCTCTTGAGAGCGACCTTTGTCTCAAAGTGGGGACTGGAAAGGCCATGGTATGACTAGCTCCACCCACCAACCACGAGCAAAAGACATACTGTAGGTCCTCCAGCAGAGAGGATAGAATAAGGGTACCAACTTTTTTCGGTAGTCTATTTTAGTAGGGGCACCCTCCCCCAAAAGAAGGGGTGAAAAAGGGCACTACTGGGGGACCTAAGAATATATTGCCATGTTCATCACCCACAGAGAGACACTTAAAGAAATTTGGCTTTGCCAACCCGGGCAAACCAGGCGGAGTGCCTTCGGTGCTTGTCCTTCTTGCGATTCAAAACCTGGATGATCACCAAAGAAATCCGAAATCCCTGCCGGGTCCCAGCTCTTTCATAGGCCCAGAAAGCAGCTGCTTCAGTTGTCCAACGGATCCAACGGAGCCATCCAAAATGACTTGCGGGGGCGCAAGATCTACAAATCAACAGGCATGTCCCGATGTCCGACTTGCAGTTAAGGGGAGGTCCAAACCGCACTCCTCTGTACACACAAAGAAAGCATCACTCCCAGAGAAATCCGCTGATTTGGATGCCCGACTTTTTCGGACCAGAGCTCGGTCAATGGCCATGGCCGGCTCTCCCAGCAAACCCAAAGTGGCTGATGTCCAGTTGAACTTTATCCAAAGTAAACAAAACAGGTAGTTGCCCTGCCAACAAAAATTGAAAATTGTTGAGGAGCCGTTTGTGCTTTCTGGCCTTTTCTGTAAAACAAGCAGCCCATGCGTTTCAGAATCAGTACACCACTGACAGGCCTGCTCCAAAGGAGAGACACAAGGAAAGGACGCTAAGCCACTCGTCCCTTGTGGTCATTCACAGGCTCAGAGCACCAGAAGGCAACAAGCCATACGGACTCCCCAAATAAGTCAAGCAAAACCAAAAACAAAACTTGCAAAAACCTAACCCCATAAATTCCCAAACCCTAGAATGTCAAAACCCTGAAATTCCCAACAAATCCGGGCGTTCAATGTGCCCGACTCAGAAACATATGATAAGAATTGTCAGTCCTTGAGGCAATGGACAAGCTCCGTTGAAAACCCAAAGAATCGACACACCCAGTTTCCACTTCTTTCCCTTGCCACTCATGACCCATTCGAAGAAAGAAACAAAACACCATTAGGGCAAATATGTGGGTGAATGTCTCCAAAACTTCAGGAAACTACATGGGCGAATGTCTCCAAACCTGTAGTGGAGTTCCGCCTCCAAACTGGCCGGCTTCCCTGCGGAATGTTCATGCGAGCCCAGGATGGAGAAACCCCTCGTTGATTGCGAGGGGCGTGTCCGATGATAGGAAATCCTATCATGTCCCTGAGCTTTAGCGGCGACCCCACCTGGCCCCCTAAAAAGGACGGGTTTCTTCCTCCGCGGTCAGCATTCATGAAACGCCCAATCGAGTGTGTCGTTTTCGAGGGTCCCTCCTTTTCCGCCGGCCTTTTTCGGAAACATTCCCGGAAACATGACATCCATGTGGGGGGGTCCCCGAAAAAAAGGAAGGATTGAACCACACCCATCCTCCAAGAGCGCCAGTTTCAGGTGACAACTAGGTCCTCCAGTAGAGAGGTTAGTTTTGAGGGTACCTTTTGTCTGTAGTCCATTTTGGTAGGGGAACCCTCCCCCAAAAAAGGGGTGAGAAGGGCACTGGGGGACCTAGCCCTGTGGAATTTCCCTCGGTTTCTTTGAATTACCTGAGTCCCAGTGACTTGTCGGGCTGAGAAAGAAAGGGCACCTAGCTGGATGAGAAGACCTAGACAAAGTCGCGTTTTCCCCGCTCCATCCCCGACGCATTCCTGCGTTGTGTTTCTTCTTTCGGCTCAGCCACGGAGGCGCCCGGATCCACCGAGGCCGCAGAGGCCCAAACGAAGCACACCTGGGCTATGGCTGCCCTTACATCCATCGGGGTTTGTTTAAGACCAGCTGGCTTTTGGTCAAAACCAAAGGGATCCCATTTTTGGGGTGGGTGCACCACCTAGTTTAGTCTACTGTAGTGGGGATTGGGATTTTATTGGGGGATAGCCGGGCTTCGGGGACACCCAGAAGTGCTTTCAACCACCCTCTCTTGCAGTTGGGCTCCATGTCTCCCCTTTGATGTTGGTTTCCCGGTAAGCCCGCAGACTGTTGGGGGTCCTCTAGGAGGGGGTTCAAGCACCTGTTCCATGCATTGGGTTTGTCTTAAACCAGCTGACCGCTGAAACCAGGCTCTTGAGGCACAAAGGGTTCGTCGCAAAGGAAAACCGAAATTTCCTTGGGGAATCCCTTTGATCTCCCTTCAACACAACATTCCCTGAAAAACACACACACACACACATACCCAGTAAAAAGATGGCTGTCTTTACCCACCACCCGGGGTTCCATTCCCGTCAACAGATACCGTCTCCATTTTGGACGCAGCGAACGGGCAATTCCTTCCTCACTGTCCAACTTTCTCAGGTCCAACCCGGGATGTCTCCATCGAGCGAGCCCGAGGCGCAACGTGCCACCAAATCGCGTGCAGCAAAACATGGCCCCCCAACAAAAAGTCAAACAGCAGCTCTCAAGTCCCAGCGGGTTCCAGTTCTGAGGATAACAAGATGGAGGTTTTGAGGTCCCAGCCCATGTCGTGAAAGGGCCCCGGGCTGTCCATCCAGGATCTGGGTGGGTAAATAAACCTCCTTCAGGGGTCAGCTTTTGCCATCTGGAAGGGACAGGCTTGAATCAGGGCGGCTCTAATTCGGCAAGAAACATTGAATGCCAGCCTCCGGAGATAAAACACAGTTGCTGCAATTGAGCCTTGAACCCTCCTTCCCTAAAGGTCACTACAAAAGCAGCTTGTTGGATTTCGGTTGGGGCCTTCATAGAATCTGGCTCTGGCAGCCAACCCCTGCTTTTGTTCGTCCGGTACTGCGCGCTCACCTCTGATGACGGTGGGGCTAAGGATGTGGAACATGCATAAACAACCCTGGCATTGTTTAGACGGCCTCCTTTTGGTTTCACTGCAAACAGGCCTTTCCAGCGATGGCTACCTCTCCCCAAAGCGAAGTGAATTCATCAGATCGCACAGAACAGCATGGAACATCATGGAATCCCAAAGCTCTTCCATTCCAAAAGGATCTCCTGCACCATTTTTGGTCTCCTCCAGTAGAGAGGTTAGAATAAGGGTACCCTTTTGGCTCGTGACGCACGAATGTCTGTCGCGCGTGGGTCGTAGGGCATGCCGCCCTACTACCGGTGAAAAGAGGGGCAGGAGCCCCGCGCACAGACCCCCAGGAGAGACTCAACCTGTGTGCCACGTATGGCCTGTATTGCCTGTATGGCCTGTGTGCCACGTATGGCCTGTATGACCTGCATGGCCTGTATGGCCTGTATGGCCTGCATGACCTGTACAACCGTGTGCCACGTATGGTCTGTATTGGCTGTATGGCCTGTGTGCCACGTATGGCCTGTATGACCTGCATGGCCTGTATGGCCTGTATGGCCTGCATGACCTGCACAACCTGTGTGCCACGTATGGCCTGTATGACCTGCATGGCCTGTGTGGCCTGTATGGCCTGCATGACCTGTGTGTGCCACGTATGGCCTGTATGACCTGCATGGCCTGTATTGCCACGTATGGCCTGAGCAGGCCAACCAGCAGTGGAAAGGGGGGTGGGACCCCCAGTCCACTGGTGCACACATCTCAAAGTCGAAGGCCCGGCCCACCAGCCACCCGCGGAAGGGGTGCCTGGGGAGCGGGGCATGCACATAGTTCCGGGAGTAGCTGACTGTAGGCCAGGGTCACGGGGCGACCCCAGCACCAACTGCCCAGGGCTGCAGGGCCTTCCTCACGCAACAGCGCCCAGCGAGAATTCCCAATCTCTGGGTACTCTGCCGAGGCGGGAGGCCCGGTGCTCCGCGTCAGTGCGCTGGAGGTAGACGCCAGGCCAAGCACCACGTGGCCAAGTGACCCCAGCATAGCGGCCGAGCCGCGGCCCCCAGAAGTGGGGGAAGGCATCCGGGTTGCGCCGGGCGATGCACTTCCTCACGGCTTTGAAGTGCACCAAGAGGCCACGGGCCGTGGCAGCACCGCCAGCATACCTGACAATGCCAGGGCTGCGCCGCCAGAAGAGCAGAGCGGCCTCCAGACCGGGCTGGAAATCCCCGCAGCGAATCGTCCACGTAGCGGAGCTCAAGGCCTTGTTCCAAGCCCACCACTGCAGCGAGCCATGAGGCCAGTCCAGCGGCTTGGTGAGGAGCTTCTCAACATGCAGCACAGTCGAGCCATGGCAAGGCTCAGACTCTACATCTAACCCTAGGGCAACGGGGGCCTCAGGGGGGGGCACCTCGGGATCAGGGGGCTCAGGGGGCGGAGGAGGAACAGGGGTGGCCGCCACGGCAAGGAAGAGCTGCTGGAGCCAGCGATGGCGCCGATAGGCAGAGAAGAACAAGGCAGACATGCGACAGATAGGAAGGGCAAGGGAAGCACGCGCCGCCCGCTTGGCCGCACGGTCAGCCGCATGGTTACAACGCGCATGCATGCCAGGGCACTGGTCGAGAGGCAAGTGGCCCCGGATCCAGTGGAGGGTCAGAGTAAAACCAGAGGTGGCACGCAGGCGAACCAAGTCCCAAAGGGGCAGCCAGAGGTCAGCCGCCGCAGCATTGGGAGGCACACACCCCCTCAGGTGAAAGCCATGCCAAGCGCAGACCGCAGCTTGGGAGTCGGTGTGAACAGTGAGCCGACCGCGAGCAAGCTGAGCGGCATGCAAGATAGCGTAGACCTCAGCACGGTAGTTGTCCACCAGGGGGCCCGGAACAGGACCAGAAGCGCACACACCAGCAGAGGCACTCACCACGGCAAAGCCCGCACCAGCGAAGAGCAAGTGGTGAGGCAGGTAGACACTGCCATCAGTCCACAGGTGGACATCCCCGCCGCCGTACCTGGGTAGCGGGGTGGTAGCGGGCCAGGGCACAGCCCGGAGGGCGGCATGGGCAAGGTCCGCAGGGATTTCAGCCAAGGCATGAGTGTAGAAGGAAGGGCCCTGATCCTCACGCTGGGCAGGCGGCGAACCAATGCGAGCATGGAGGGCACTGCGCTGCACAAGGTGTGCCAGCGTCTCATCAGCGCCATCACAGAAGCGACAGCCTGGGGATGCGGCCAGGTTGGAGGCATAAAGCCGGTCAGCCGTAGCCGCAGAGCCGACAACCACAGCAGGGGCAACCGCACGGTTGGAGGGGAAAGCACGGACAAAGGAGCTCCAACCCGGGCCAGGTGGGACGAGCCAAGGAGAGCGAGTGAGCGCAACATCAAGGAGGCCAGACGGCCCCAAAACAATATCCGCACGCTTGCCACGGTAGGCGCGCTGGTAGGCGTGCTGAGCGATGGTCCACTGCAGGAGTCTTGCCAGGGAGCGAAGGGAGACACTAAACAGGGACATCCAAGGTCCCGAGGCAAGGGCAACATCGGCAGGGGCCTGGAAACGCAAACCACACAAAGTGACCGCAGCAATCACGTTGGAGACCAGCGTGGAAGGCATAATCCTGGGATTGGTAAAGGCGATCCGCCACTGGATGGCGAACTTCTCCGAGCGCTGGAGGTGGGAGGCCATGCACATTGAGTACGGCGCGGTACGCCATGGCGTACTCGGGGTGCACCAGATGACCCCGGTGGACAACAGCAAGGAGCAACTCACGGGAACGCCAGCCAGGCCGACCATCCCACAGGACACCCGCAACCTCGGTAGCCAAGGAAGACAGAAGCCCACGGGGGACGAAATTTAGTTCCGCAGAGTAGGTAAGCATGGGCATGGCCTTGCGAGCAACAAAGCTGGCTTTGGCGAAGGGAGAGAGGGGCAACACACGGATGGCCCTGAGGGCTGCCCGGAACCGAGCAACTGCAGGAGCCCGAGCATCCCTAGTGCCACGCAAATCCAAGTTGATGCACACGCCGAGTGGTCGCAGAGAGCGCAGACGTGGCGCACCGGGGAGAGCGGCCTGGAGCTGCAGGGCAGGCGACTCATGAGTAGTCCACCAGCCAGACTTGTGGAGGTTGAAAAGCTGACCAGAGAGGCCATCAAAAAGGGAAGTAGCCCTGACAGCCTGCACAAGGGAGGGAATGGCGTCCGGCGCAGCTGCATCTGCGACTCCAGACTGTCTTCCTGCCTGGCCGCGCCGATGGGGGCCACGTAAAATGTAGCCGTCGTCAACATAGACCCGGGGTTCAACCCCAGGGAAGTGCCTGATGAGAAGAGCCCAGGCAGCCATCAAGACATTTGCCGCCAAGACCGAGAGGGAACAGCCCTGGGCGATGCCGTTGCAGTTGGCCAAGGGAGTAGGGTGGATGGCTCCCCGCCAGGAGAGATAGCGCCTGAAGTCGCAGTAGTTGGAACGCCAGGCATTGGCCACAGAGGCTGGGAAGCCCAAAGCCGTAAGGGTAGCAACAGTGTGGCTAGGGAGCAGGCGGTCGAAGCACTTGGAGCGATCGATCTGGATGCCCGCAAAGACCTCATTGGTCGCCTTGGCCTCATGAAGATCAAGAGCAAGGTGGTGGGTGATGTCATCCACCCGGCGACCACTAACCCCGCCACAGACTTCAGCAGGGAGCACAAGGCGTTGCCACGCAGAGGAAGCACGGAACCTAGCCGAGGACCACGCAAGGTAGGTGATGGGAAGGACAGCGATGAGGCGTTTAGAGAGAGGGCTGGGGCCCGCTCCTTTGTCCAGCACCGCAAGTCTGGCCGTGCCGAAGATACGAGGCATGGACCACAAGCCCGCCTCCACCTTGTTGAAGAGTAAGGCAAGGACCTGCAATACCCGAAGCGGGAGAGCCGGACCAGCCATCAAGGCCGGCAGAAGAGTCCACACTCCGAGCGCAGATGGAGCGAGCCAGGTCATCCGGCGTGACGGCCGGGAGGTCAA